GAAGTCTCGCCCATAGGCGTACTTCTGCATTGAAGAAAAAGGTGGATAGTTTAAATGTATTATTAAATAGTTAACATTGTGGTTTATATTTGCTAGTTTCCATGACAGAGTTCAATATAAATCTTTTCATTACTTCTGGAGCTGGCAGTTTGCTAAGTTTTCAAATGATTACTAAACAGCAAGCCAATTGGATTTTCTACCAATTGGATTGTGTTTTATTACCCCAATTCTAAACCTAGCCCTTAAAATAATGCTAAAACAGTTGTTGTACAGTGTGACAAAAATGACGCTATATTGATGTGCGCATGCCCAGTAGCCGCAGCTGTATCCCTTCTAGCCTTAGCCTCCTTCCGGAGCACTCAGTGTCCGAATTTGTTCTCTCGTTTTCATTCACTCCATATTAGTGGACTAATGTAGGGAATAGTGAATGAGGGGGTGATTTTGAACGCAACAGCTGAGATGTCACACTTCAACCTCAGTGAGCTCCAGTCAATCAGACTTCTACAGCCTCTATAATTTCATAAACACGTGGACATCACAACCCTTACAAAAATGAACCATGGTTTTATCGCAGTAAAACTGCTTCATTTTCCTTTGTGTGATTTCTGAATGCTTGCTCTGTTGAAAAAAACAGCATATGCTGGTTAGGTATGTTTTGATGCTGGTTTATGCTGGTCCTTTGCTGGTTTAAACTAGTCCTTTGCTGGTTTATGATGCTGGTTGATCGATCTGCACCAAGTTCACAGGTCGCATATCCAACAGGGCTCGACGCTTACTTTTCTTTTTAGGAGCACTTGTGCTCCTAAGTTCAGAATTTTAGGAGCACCTTCTAATCAATAATCCAAAATGTTATCAAAAACAACATCAAGTGCCATTCCAGACATTATTTCCAAGTAGGAAATGGGGAAAATCCAAATTTTAATTGGTCTGGCACACAACATGACGCCACACTGTACACATTTGGCACAGTATTCTGGGTTAACAGCGTAAAAGAGGTAAATCACAACTTGGGGCTAAGTGCATGCGTTAAAAGCCCTTTTAAGGGGAAAATCTATGGTAGCCTACTTTTAGTATTAAAAAATTGCACCTGATGTGGCTGCGCCATCTTGTGGATAAAAAGTAGTTTGTGATTTGATTCACTGAGCAGTATGTGACACACGCAAGTTAAAGGTGTTTGCAAGTTCATCTCATCAAAAATAAACAAGTAAATAAGATAAATACAAATGCTGTATCAACTGGTGGCTTGAACAGATTTGACTGTTGTAATTTTGCCCACGTTGTTGTTAATATGTACAGATCCTAAAATTGCTTAAGTACAGATCATGATGGATAATAATCTAACAAGATCATTTTAGAGCAATTTAAAGCTGCAGTCCGTAACTTTTTTTGTGTTCAAAATTAAAAAAAAAAAATGTATATAATAAGCGAGTACACCATGAATCCATTTTCCAAACCGTGTTTTTGGCTTGTGCTGAATCACTACGGTACTCCTATAATAAGTGTTTATATTCGGACTATTTAGACTGGTTGGGGTAGGTACCGCTGCGGAGGAGCCCAGTACCTGCGTGATGCGCCATAGACATAAACAGAGAGAAGTAGCTCCGGCTACAATGTTCTTCCGCAAGACGCACGCAGTTCTGTTTATTAACCGCTAGAGGGCCAAAAGTCACGGGCTGTGTTCGAAATGGCATACTTGCTTACTGCTTACTGCCCAGTACACAGTGCATACTGCCTACTATTTTTTTAAAGAATAGTGTGTGAAACAGTATACAATAAGCAATAAATGTTTCAGAGTAGTATGCTTAAGTGCTGTCACATGACAAACACTGAACATTAATTCAGCACAGCTGTCAAGGTTGTTACCTTAGAAACAAATGAGCTAACTGTTCTTTTTACAAAGGCTTGTTAATAAGGCTTCATACTAGTAAACAATGCTATATTGCCCAATTGAACTCATTTCATAATTGATTAACTTTACATATTGGACAGAACTAAATCAACACTGAGCTGTCTTTATTGATATTTTTGGTAGTTACACTAAGTGGCGATATATTAAAAAGCGATATATTCTAGTTACACTAAGTGCAAATAATGATCAATTCTGTTTACACTAAAATAGCAGCATTTTCTTTAGCAATAGGAGTGTAAATAGTAGTTAGGTGGCAGATATTTACAGTGGGTACGGAAAGTATTCAGACCCCCTTAAATTTTTCACTCTTTGTTATATTGCAGCCATTTGCTAAAATCATTTAAGTTAATTTTTTTTCCTCATTAATGTACACACAGCACCCCATATTGACAGAAAAACACAGAATTGTTGACATTTTTGCAAATTTATTAAAAAAGAAAAACTGAAAAATGCTCAGTATTTAGTAGAAGCACCCATTTGATCTAATACAGCCATGAGTCTCAGATCACCACCGGACGCCAGACACCGAAGATGAAACATGCAGATGTCCTGCAGCCGGGTAACACTGGACTCAATCTGAACATCTCTGATGAGATCTATAGGAGAATAATATGCAAAAGTAATTATATTAGCATACTAAACTATTTAACTTTATTTAAATGACCATGAACGTATTCAGCCTCAGTTCTTAAATGTGTTGTTTTAGAATTTGATATTTGCATCCGAACAGCATTGACAGAATAAATATCAAACAATTAAACTCACCACGAACATGCAGCACAATGAATTTTGTTTCATATTGTATATATTTTCCTTATGCAGTAATAGAGAAGCTTCCAGAATCCTGGAGTTTAAGGTCTGCTACTGTTACACTAATATTGTCCTTATTCATCTTTAACCTTTCATAAAATAATTCAGATGTAACTTTTTGGAAATCATCTTTTCGATACTCAGCAAAAGGAGTATCATAATATTTCCACTGCACTTCAAGATCATCTTTTGGATAATCAGCAATTAATTCCAGTGAGTCTCCAACAGCTTTGTGCACAACCTCTGCATCTGGATCAACACACGACCCTGCAATACAGAACAGACAACAAAACATGGTTACATACCGTCACAAATGCATGCCATATTTTTCTGAATGACAAGTCAATAAACCCAGAAATAACATGCTTTTTCAATTAGTCTAATGCCGGTTGCAACAGAAAAGCACTCTATTAATGACCACATTCTCGAAAGATAGAGCTTGAGGTAAAATTATAATAGACAATATATTTTAATTCTGAACTCACTTTAAGCATGCATTGCATGAAACACATTTAGCTTCATATTTAATAATCATTTAAAATATTCATATTCATTCCCTATACAGGAATAACTGCAGGATTGCTCGAGTCACTCACCTTGGAGAAGGAAAAGCAGGAGAACTCCTAAGACGGTGCAGCGGGACTCTTGAAAGACGTTCATGTCCAGACGTTTAGACGTCAGACTGAAGCATTCGTGACGGCAGATACAGCGAAACAGAAGAGACAAAAACAGACTTCCTCACACTAGCATCTCACGCAAGAGCACAAGCATTTCATCAACCAATAGCTAGCTGCAGTTAGTGAGAAGTTGAAGTGAAGCATTATGACGTGTCGATGCGGAGGAGTATGTATCGCTGAACTACAGAAAAATAATGACAATTCTGTGATTACTTACTTACACTTAGAGGTTTCAGTTCCTCTTGAAGCTCACAAACTGACACAATGTTCAGGCCATTTCACGATAGCAAATGTATAGCTTTAGAGGAAAAGGCAAATGATCTGTTGGTGGTTTTTGGCTGAATATAAATAAATGCAAATGCAAACATTACAACACTATTACAAAGACTTTCGAGAAGCTGCGAATAACATTCCAGTGCTCCAGACTGTCATCAGATTTCACTCATGAAATCTGTTGTTGAAGTTTGGTTGAATAAGAAGTTTGCAATACATTTTAATAAAGTAAGATGCAGTGTTGATGTATGTAAAATGTGTGGTTTATATAGGCCTATTCCTCAGCGTGTTTCCTCTGTCCTCTGTGGAGCAATTAATGGAGACTTTTTCACATTTCCAGGATTGTAACGTGGAAGTAAACTATAACAGGATAAACTTGTAGGCCTACATGAGAGACCACAATTATTATTATTATTATTATTATTTTGTGTTCCCACAAAATCTTTGGACCTTCCTATAGATCTAATATTTTATTTCAGTGCTAAAAGACTGTAATTGTGTAAATGTAATTAAACCAGACATCTGCCCTTTACTCATAGCCCTAGACACTGAGAACAGAGAGACCTGATGCTACTTTATGCTAATGCATCTGAATAATGTGTAGATACTCCATTATTGCTTTGTGTGTTGAAAAGCACACGAGCATAGAACGTTGGTGAGGGAGGCTGTGTGATGTCACAGTAACGCTCCGCATTCCACTCTGTCTAAAAGCGCTCGCTCGCAGATCACCTGCAGCTTCATCATTAGTCATTACACGTTCATCAGAATGGCTTGGTTGGTGAAGGTAGGTCTGATGCCGAATCGGGTTTTAAGGAGTCCAAGTGTGTTTGCTCCAGTCTGAATGCACAAATCTGAACAAAAGATATAGTTACTGAACTCCATTATCGCGCCGACGGTAAAAGGGAACCGTTGTTTTATTTGCACTGGTTTGACCTTGCTTGACGAGCAATACCATCAAAAATGTTCTGCCTATGTGTATTTAAAATGTCGTTACTATCAGTTTAATATGACTGGATTACATACAAATAAATACAAGTAAACTTGTAGGCCTCTAGTTATACGAGTAAACCTGTTTATGCATTGTATGCATATCTGTATGCATGCTTTGTATTATTTGTGTAAATGTGCACCAGCTGAAAATAATAATTATCTAGAAAGCTGGTATAAGAAATTTAAAAATGGTCTAACTGGACTTTTTGGCTCATACTTCATAGCAACTTTCCTCAGTAAGTCTCCATTAATGAACAGATTACCAAGCATAAAGTATTAATTCTGAGTTATGTTTGTCCTTCTAGAAATTGGTGTGTGCCGTTCATCAGTCTGATGAAAAAATGGATAAAAATCCCAAAAAGGAGAAGAAGAAGAGGGTCAAGTTTGCGCTGTGTTCTTCAGTGGATGTGCTGGACTCGTCTAGTGCAGCTCCTGAAGACAGTGACAAACCACCCTCCTCTTCCTCCTCTTCCTCCTCAGGCAAACGCAGATTTCACGGTCTGCGGCGCTTTTTTGGCAGAATGCTGTCATTCTGTCACATGTCCGCATCTTCTGAGCAGGATAAGACGTCTTCCATCCAGACTCAGAAGACCAGCGACCAGGAGAAAGAAGCAGTCGGAGGTTAGAGACGCTTTTCACAGCCATTTCTGTGACACTCTTTTTGAGTTTTACTGCCTCAAGTGTCATATCCTTAGCTCTATGTAACAATCTTTCAATGTCTGATTGTTCAGGATCTGCTTCTTGAAGCTTGCCTAGTTGCTATATTATTTATGTCCTCAATAAAAAGTTTGTGACATTAACATTGACAAAAACATGTCTTCACAGCAGTAGTTGTAGACGGTTCTTCGTCACCTGCAGATGTCAGATCCTCAGAACAAAAACCGTCTGAGCTGCCGACTGTGATTCAGGAGACTGAAACCATCACAGGTAAGCAGTTCTTCAGCTTTTCTACTCTAATTTTGCTACATCTGACCTGTTAAAGGCTCTAAAACATCCTCTACATCCAGAGGTGTTAGTTGTAATACATGCAAATTTGTCCATTTAACTGTGTATTGGAATGTTTTGATACCAGATTTTATTTCTGAAAGCGTTAAAAAAAATCCAGACTGAAGCTCTAGTTTAGACAGTTTTTCAAAAGCTGACAAACAGCACTGATATTGAAGGGAATAGTGCCTGTTGACGGTTCTTCGTCACCTGCAGATGTCAGATCCTCAGAACAAAAACCGTCTGAGCTGCCGACTGTGATTCAGGAGACTGAACCCATCACAGGTAAGCAGCTCTCCAGCTTTTCTACTCTACTTCTGCTTCATCTGACCTGTTAAAGGCTCTAAAACATCCTCTACATCCAGAGGTTTTAGTAGTAATGCAAATTTGTCCATTTAACTGTGTATTGGAATGTTTTGATACCAGATTTTATTTCTGAAAGCGTTAAAAAAAATCCAGACTGAAGCTCTAGTTTAGACAGTTTTTCAAAAGCTGACAAACAGCACTGATATTGAAGGGAATAGTGCCTGTTTTAGAAAGTCTTTGCTGGTGACTGTAGTCATGCCTGTTGTGTGAGAAGATGTTTGACTAAAACTGCATAATCTATCTCTTTACAGATGCAGACGCAGCTCTGACGTTTGAGAGCATTGATCTTGAGCGGTGGGTATTTGTGTGTAGCAGCAGGTTACTGACCCCCCCTCATTCAGGAAAAAAATATTTTCAAAGTAGTTTTAAATGTATTTCAAAATATACAAAAAGTGGCCTAAAATATGTTTCAAAATATATTCATGTAAATGTGCTTATGTAAATATATTTCTTGGCCATCGTTGTGTATTATTGAAAATATACTATTCAAAATATTAATATAATTTTAAAAAGCATTCATAAATATATTTTGCATTCAGCATGGCTACTGTAAGATTGGAAATGTATTTTCTTGCCTCTGAAATACAGTTTTAACATGAGGCTGAAACTGATTATATTTTCATTTAGGAAACACGTGCTATATGAACTCCGTCATTCAGTGCCTCCTCAGCGTTTCCCCCTTTCGGGAAGATTTGCTCTCCCAGCAGGAGAATCACAAAGACGACGCCAAGCTGCTCAGGTACCAGCAACAATTCAACTAATACATCTAAAATCTTCCTATTTAAATTACGCATGTCGTATTGTAGCTCTCATGACGTTCTAGAGTAGAGCAGAATAACCTTTAATTGTGGCACTAAAACGATTCTAATAACATTAATCCGCTTCTTTCCAGAGCGTTAACCGACCTGCATATGAGCCGGATGGACGGCAGTGACTCCGATCTGAAGGAAACACACTTGGCTAAAGTTAAAAGCGACATAGAAAGTCACTTTCCAGTTTGTAAGCTGTTTGTTAATGAGTTGGATTTACCTTCTCTGTCTCCTCTCAGGATGCACATGAGTTCCTCATGGCTTGTCTGTCCTGTCTGAAAGAAGAAAGCATGACCTTGAAATCGTCTCATCCCTCATACACGTGCCCCGTGTCCAGTATGGAGTTCAAGCTTAAAAGCGAGCGCACCTGCAACAGGTAATGCCATCATGTGACATTTAATGTCACCAAAAGTTTGGCCTAAAGATGAATGCATTTGGATGAACTCATGGTCATTCAAAAGAAGCCTAACATTGAAATGTTTGTTCACTCTGTTATTTTAGCTGTGGCGTCAAGAAGAGTTTCGCAGAGGAGTCAAACTGCCTCTCGCTGGTCATTGGCCCTCATGCGAGTCTCACAGACAGTCTGCATCAGTACATGAACGCGAGTATCAGCGCTAAAGTCATTATATTACATGAACAGGAGCCTCTTGTGTCTAATAGGGCTGGGAAAATAAATCGATGCATTGCGAATCGAGAAATGATTCATCTTAGATTCTGAGATTTTCCGAATGCATCGCGATTCTTTTCTCGAACAGCAGATGGCGCTGCATGCTTTAGAAACAGCTGTACTCTTGAACTACTTGAACCTAGAGTTGCAAAGTTGCAAATTTCCGAAAACTTTCCAAAAATCCCTGGAATATTCCAACAAAATCCTGGAAAGCTTCTGGAATGTTTCCGAAATTTACTGGAAATTTTCCACCTTTTTGCAACCCTACTTGAACCCAAAATAATCATTCATAAAATTCGAAATGGTTGAAGTGAATTACAAGGGTGTTCACAGTGGGCTGTTTACATTAATCTGCGTCATAAAAGCGTTCTGAGCCAAGGTGGCATTACATGACTTGGCCGAACGCACAAGTGCTCTTTAACGCTCTTCTTCATGAGCATTTGAGTGTGCGGATAAAAACTAGATTAGAGCGCCACCTGCTGTTAAAATCTAAGCTCCGAATCGAGATGCATTCGGAAGATCTGAGAATCGATTCTGCATCGATTTATCGTCGCAGCCCTAGTGTCTAATAAGCTGATGTCTGTCTCTGTTTTCCTCAGGCACCATTCGTTGATTGCGTTTGCAGTCTGTGTGGTGGACCGCAGGCCTCTGAGACCCTGAAGTTTCTCACTCTTCCTCGGTACGACACGCTGCTGATCAGTTATTGATCTGGAGAACAGCCAAACATGAGCTGCTCTGTAACGTCTGATCACTCGCATGTCTCTGCAGGGTCCTGGTCGTTCTGGTGCAGCGCTTTGACTTCACATCCTCCATGATCAAGCTGAAGAATCGACTGGAGATTCCCGAGGAGCTGACGCTGTCCTGTGTTAAAGGTACGCTGCTGTTTATCAAACATTGGTCAGTTACAGATAGGGTTGCAAAAAGGTGGAACATTTCCAGTACATTTCGGAAACATTCCAATTTCTCCAGAGAATATTCAGGAAAAAGAACAGAGTTGCTCCACAGACAACACAGGAAAGAGATGGATGGATAGATGGATAGATAGGTAGATAGATGGATAGATATATGGAAGATGCATAGATGGATAGATAGATAGACAGATGGGTAGATGGATAGATAGATGGACAGATGGGTAGATGCACAGATAGATAGATAGATAGACAGCATTGTCTTATAATCTCCATGTGTGTTAAACAGGAAGAAGCTCCAGTCGTCATCAGTTCACAGTACAGACTCTCTGCTGTTGTGTCTCATGTGGGAAGCCATTTGTTTTTTGGTAAGAGTTTTCATTCGTCTCACTCGTTCATTCACTGATCATGTGTAGTTCCAGTCAGTCATGGAATTGACACTGAGGTTTCTCTGTCTCACAGGACACTACATCAGTCAGATCCGTGAGTGCAGTGAGGATGGATGGCTGCGGTGCAGCGACGCGTCTGTCAGAAGAAGCAGCTGGACCGAGGTGTCCGAGGACGTCGGGGCCAACGGATACTTGCTGTTTTATGTCAAGAGGTATTTAACCCCATAATATTCAGTTTTTAATATTCAGTGTTCAGTCCTCACTTGTATTTAGTCAGCTGCTTTGGTATAGAAAACACTGAACTCCACCTTACTCTTGTTTCTGCAGCTGAGCAGCGTTTGGTGCTTTGCACTGATTTGAAGAAACAAAGAGCAACTGATGAGGAAGATCCCACCACTCAATGTGAAACAGCTCGTCCCTCAGTCCTCCCGATCAGAGGGAGTGGATCTTGAGAATCCATGCTCTGGTTTCTCTCATGTCACCTGGTCGATTTTGGGTCAAACTTGCATCTGGCGGTTTGAATTGATCAGCACCCGTTCTCTTGTCTCATAGCTGTTTGGCCTGTAGATCATGAGAGCAGTGGCTTTTAACTTTGCCAGTGCGAACACCATCTCAGGATGCAGATATTTTGCAATCCTTACCAACTCAGCTGCACTTTAGTATTGTACAGCCGCTCCCCTTCCTGATCACCAGATGTATAATTATATCATCAACTACATTACTAAGGCAGAAGGAGCAAAACCTATTTATATGTAGGGACATTTTCACAAAAAAGAAATGCATTTTTATCCAAATGCAAGAAACACATTTATTTTATCCAGACACTTTTATCCAAAGTGACTTAAGTTGCATTCAAGGTGCACTTCTAAAAACTAGGGTTATTTGTTGGCCTTGATTGTTCCATGAAGAATCTTTAACATCCATGGAACCTTAACATTGCACAGAAGGTTTGTTATAGTGGAAGGTTATTTAGACTAATATATATATATATATATATGTGTGTGTGTGTGTGTGTGTATATATATATAT